CATAGAATGAATTTGGAAGTACTCCCTCTTTTTCTATTTTCTGAAATAGATTGAAGACTATTGGTATTAGTTCTTCTTTAAAGGTCTTGTAAAACTCTGTTTTATATCCTTCTGGTCCTGGGCTTTCCTTGGTTGGTAATCTTTTGATGGCTTCTTCTATTTTTTCACTTGATATTGGTCTATTTAAGTTGTGTATATCTTCCTGACTCAATCTGGGCAGGTCATATGACTTTAGGAATTTATCGATGTCGTCACTATCTTTGATTTTATTAGAGTATAACTTTTTAAAATAATTTCTAATTATCCTTTGTATTTCTGTAGTGATATTGCCTTTTTCATCACATATGCTAGTAATTTGGGTTTTCTCTCTTCTTTATTAGCATGTCTAAGGGTCTGTCAGTCTTATTTATTTTTTCAAAGAGCCAACTTTTAATTTTGTCAATCATTTCAATTGTTTCTTTTGTTTGGATTTCATCTCTGATTTTAATTATTTCTTGCCTTTTTATTTTTATTTTTGAGAGAGGTTCTTGCTGAGTTGTTCAGGCTGACTTTGAACTTACTTCAGCCTTCCAAGTAGCTGGGATTACAGGTGTGTGCCACCATGCCCAGCTTTAGTCTACTATTGATGAAATGGAATATAGGTAGCAGCTAGCCTCAGAATTTGGATATCACCCATGTAGAATTCTGGGGAGAAGTCATTTGGGGCACAAAGTTGGCATTATCATAGTCCCTGGAAAATTTTCCAAGTAAAGTTCTGTGAGTTTTCATATAAATCGAGGGTAAAATGCAGACTGAGGGGGGCTGGGCTTGGGACTGTATGTGCGCCTGCCTAGCACATGCAGAGTTCGATCCTCAGCACCACATATAAATCAATAAAATAATGGTATTGTGTCCAACTACATCTAAAAAATAAATATTAAAAAAATGCAGATTCAGGTATAGTATAGATCAGAAGGGAATTTGGTAGGAGAATTACCAGTTTTTGGGAATTTAATGCTATATTCAAAGTCTTAGTTGAAATAATCCTTTAAAATTACAGAATTGGATTAAGGAGGCTTTATTTGGTAGAATTTCTCAATTTCATGGTTTCAGGTTGGCTGAATAGAAGAAAAAGATAAGTTAGCTGTATGTCTGAATAACGTAAGTCCTTTGTGTTGTCTTAAATGTTACAGATAAAAAATATTAAATATAATTAATTTTGTGTCCTTGCAGATTGATCATTTATTTATTAGTAATTTACCAGAGATTGTGGTGGAATTATTGATGTCGTTACATGAAACAGCAGATTCTGGTGCCAGCCAGAGCACTGATGCCTGTGACTTTTCAGGGTATGTACATTTTAAATTTAGAAAATGAGGCACAACTTGCAAATTCCTTATGCTTTTTTTTAATATTTATTTTTTAGTTATAGGTGGACACAATATCTTTATTTTTTATTTTTATGTGGTGTTGAGGATTGAACCTAAGGCCTCATGCTTGGTAGGTGAGTGCTCTACCTCTGAGCCACAGTCCCAGCCCCGATTTTTTTATTGATTGACAAATTCAGATGTCTATTTCAGTTTTTAGACATGTCCTCTTTTTAAAAAATTGGTTTCTTTAAAAATGGTCCTCTGATATGAAGTAATTACCTGTGAGCTTTTATACTGTAATTTCCCCACAGTTATTACTCTTTCTAGTTGAACTCTTTGATGGCAGAACCAATAAACTTTCTTTTCTCGATTTTTCTGTAATATTTGAGCATTATGCCACATGTAGTGTTTTGAAATTTTTTCTCCATGGGTTTGCTATTTCACTTATTATTAATAACCTCCCTTTCTAGAGCACCTTTTCATTATCATGCTCCTTGACTGTCAGAATCATACTCCTTAGCTGCACTGTTTAATTTGGCCCTGTTCTCCTTCTCCTCCCCGCCTCTTTCTCTGTGTCCTGGCTGTCATGAGCTGAGCAGTTTTCAACCCATTTGGTTGCATATGAATGTTCAAATTATTTTCCTCACTTGACTGGAAACTGCTTGAAAATACCCTTTACTGTGTAGTGGCACACACCTACCCAGCTTCTCTGGAGGCGGAGGCAGGAAGATCACAAGTTCAAAGCCAGCCTTAGCAACTTAGGCTCTAAGCAACTTATCAAGACCCTTTCCTAAAATAAAAATTTAAAAAGGGATGGGATGTTACTCAGTAATTAATCCTGAGTTCAATCCTTAATGTCAAAAAAAAAAAAGAAAATATCCTTTAGTATTTTTTAATATGTTCTACCATGCTAAACATATAAAATAGTAATTATGTTAGTTAATGTGAAAAATCAAACACCTGATAAAATCAGCTTAGGGAAGAGAAGGCTCATGGTTTTTGAGGTTTTAGTCTGTTTTAGGCTAGCTTCATTGCTTTTGGCTTGAGGTGAAGCAGAACATGGTGTCAGAAGGGCACAGCAGAGGAAAATTGCTCAGCTCATGACAGCCAGGATACAGAGAAAGAGACAGAGAGGAGAAAGAGAACAGTGCCAAAGAGGGGAGAGAAAGGGGTCAGGAACAAGAATAGAGTCCCCAAGGGCACATACTTAAGGACTCACTTCTTCAACTCAGTATACCTCCTTTAGTTTTCACCACTTCCTAATAATGCCATCAAATTACTAATACACTGATGGGGTCAGAGCCCTCATCATACAATTACCTTCCCTAAATCCCATCTCTGAACTTTGTTGCATTGGGGACTAATTCTTCAACACGTGAGCCTTTGGGGAACATTCCAGAGCCAAACCATAACAGTAATAATATCTAGCAAAGTACTTTGACATATGTAATTTCATCCTAATTAATGTTGCTTATCTAGTAGATTGCCATAGCTTAAAATACAATTGCTTTTATAATACTAGTAGAGCTTTAACTCAAACCTGAAATGAGGTAACACTAAAACTCATTTGTGGAGCTGCCATTAATTATAAAAAAGATTAAGCAAATAATTTTAAGTAAATTGGTTAAGATTAAGTCCCAGGGTGAAGTGCATTTAGATATTCTAATATTTATTA